TGGGTAAAAGTGCAGTTCAGGTGCGTATATTATTTCTGTTTGAATCTCTTATTTTCCCGTGTAAACTTATGTTAATTCTTTATAAAAAGTATTTTAAAAGTTATATACCATCTTTTTATTGGAATACAACAACAATTTAACAAATTTTACGAGATAAAAAAAGTACATTTTTATGAATCTTTCGTGTTTTACGGACCATTGTGGTAAATCAAGGATAACTCTTCTGTCTTTTAAGATACTTTATAAAAGTTGCCCAATTGGATGAATCTTGTTGAAATAAATGATGTATTTATTTTATAACTTTACTATCAACTATAACCGGAGTTGCCTGGGGCTGCATTCAGAAAAAAACATCTGCTCCGTCCTTTTAGTTCACATTGCTATTAAACGAAATGTCAACATCAAAACAACAACACTATAGTAAAAATAATAATAATTAATTTGCCTCCTATTAAAAACAATTAAAATAACTTATGTAAACCTTTCGTTTTTCCTGTTTTCTGATGGCACCCGGAAGGATCATGATGGGATCCCGAACCCGATGTGATTCCGATAGAATCCTGGTCATGGTGGGATCCCGATCCCGGTAAAATACTGATCCCGGTGAGATCCGTTTCCGGTGGTATCCCAAACTAAATTAGATCCCAATCCGGTGGGATCCCGTTTTGGTGAGATTCTGATCCCGATAGGATTTTGATCCTAGTGAGATCCTGATCCCGGTGGGATCCCGATCCAGTGCGTTACCGATCCTGGCAGGATACCGGTTATGGTGAGATCCCGTTTCGGGTGAGATTCCGTTTCGAGTGAGATCCCGTTTCGGGTGATATGCAGATCCCGGTAATTATGGGGAGCTCACATACTTGACATACGAACCCAGCTTAAAAGCCACATTGCAATTGTTACGAGCGCCTTAGGAGAAATTCCAGTTGTATTAACGTTATTTGTTGCCCCACAAGGTGCGCGTATAAACCAAATGCTGCACCATTAAAAATGCCTGTTGCATCAACAATTTTAGTTATTGTTTCTTGGTCGTCCTGCAATTTTAAACAAAATGATCCTACAACCAGCAATACCGCAAAGCCAAAACGAGTCCATCTTATAATATAAAAAAAAAATAATCACTAGCCCTCACTTTACTCAGCGCAAATCAGTCACCAGTAATAAGCGCATTTGCATACGAAAAAAGAGGAGGAGGTGCTCAAATTAGAGCTGACCAATCACGGACAGCGTATTAGCAGCCTTCAGGGTGATCAACTTCACACCAGGTCCAGGACAATGATGACGTGTGTGTCCACTGCTTAGTCAGGCGCTTGTGCGTAATGAAGAATCTAGTATTTCATTCTTTTTTGTGAACATGCTTAGTTTGAAAATTTCGTTTAGCATACTAACTTATAGGTGGCTAAAAATCTGGCATAGCGTAAAAAGAAAAATATCCACAAGGTGCGCGTATAAACCAAATGCTGCACCATTAAAAATGCCTGTTGCATCAACAATTTTAGTTATTGTTTCTTGGTCGTCCTGCAATTTTAAACAAAATGATCCTACAACCAGCAATACCGCAAAGCCAAAACGAGTCCATCTTATAATATAAAAAAAAAATAATCACTAGCCCTCACTTTACTCAGCGCAAATCAGTCACCAGTAATAAGCGCATTTGCATACGAAAAAAGAGGAGGAGGTGCTCAAATTAGAGCTGACCAATCACGGACAGCGTATTAGCAGCCTTCAGGGTGATCAACTTCACACCAGGTCCAGGACAATGATGACGTGTGTGTCCACTGCTTAGTCAGGCGCTTGTGCGTAATGAAGAATCTAGTATTTCATTCTTTTTTGTGAACATGCTTAGTTTGAAAATTTCGTTTAGCATACTAACTTATAGGTGGCTAAAAATCTGGCATAGCGTAAAAAGAAAAATACAAACAAATGGGGGCTGTGTCACTTTGGTTGGGGGATATTTAAAGACTCTTTAGAAGTTTAGAAGTAAAATAAAAAGAAAAGATGCGATTTATAATCCAGAATTAGTTAACTATAACTGCCTGTATTTAATTATTAAAGAATACATGTAAGTTTACATGATAAAAAATTTTTAAAATACGAAATGCGCTAAGAAATAATATACGCACCTGAACTGCACTTTTACCATTACCCAGTACTCAGTACTGTACAGTCTACATCATTTTGCACAACGTTTTATTCAAGACTGAAACACTTCACTCTTCTTTGGCATACCTGAATTTCAAATTAGATACGACGTCTAAAGTCTGAAATCTTTACTTCATGTCATTAATAAACTATTTCACTAATTTGCAGGTGTTTTTAAGTCATAAGTACTCACTTCTCACAAGCCAGCTCGATATTTGGTCAGCCTGCTTACCGAGATCTAGGATTTTACGATAATGTACCGTTGTACGTTTGATAGATCAACTTGTCATGAGATTTAGGGATACAAATAAGGTGACGATCAGTGCCGGATTAACCTTAGGACACATGCCTAGGGGCCCTGCACGTTTTGGGGGCTTCCTGACTAAGAATTTTTTTTTTAAACTTGACAAAACAATAAAAGGAGAGAAGGGAAAGAAGTTTAAGTAATAAAAGGCTGCGACTATTCGCACCCGGGTACCAGGAGTGAGAGGTTGGGATTAAAAAACTATTTAAAATATTATTGTTGGGTTTGTAAAACAAAATGAGGTATAAAATGAAAGATAATTGAATGGGGTATATGTTTGTAAACCTACTTCTTCAGTTTAATTAAATAAACTACCACAAATGACATCCGAATAGCATTGAGTATAA